CCAAACAGCTGCATAAGAGGCAGAAAGAAACAGGTACCACATTATGGAATAATAACAATATAACTGGTCATGCGAGAACACTACAACTTAAGGAGAGTAATAGTAATCTAAATGACAGAAGAAGCAGACAGAGAGTGTTTCAAAAACTGCTTCCTGGGAGCCTGAAAACACATAGAAATTGTCTTAAAGCCGGACAGCCTTTAAAAAAAAAACTTTCGGCCAGGCGCGGTGGCTCAAGCCTGTAATCCCAGCACTTTGGGAGGCCGAGGCGGGTGGATCACGAGGTCAAGAGATCGAGACCATCCTGGTCAACATGGTGAAACCCCGTCTCTACTAAAAATACAAAAAATTAGCTGGGCATGGTGGCACGTGCCTGTAGTCCCAGCTGCTTGGGAGGCTGAGGCAGGAGAATTGCCTGAACCCGGGAGGCGGAGGTTGCGGTGAGCCGAGATCGCGCCATTGCACTCCAGCCTGGGTAACAAGAGTGAAGCTCTGTCTCAAAAAAAATAAATAAATAAAAATAAAAAAACTTTCTCAGCATAAGTTCATGATTAGGCTAACTATAATTAAAGTGATTTAAAGAAAAAAAATACCATGTAAAGCCTCAAATGTTATATATAAAACATCAACACACAATTTGCCCTGGGAAGAACAGTGACTAGAATACTTAATGAGACACTAAAAATACCTGAGGAAAAAATATGGGAATCTTAAAGGTTCAGAGATGGCTCTGTAAGCTTAATACTTTGCTAATAATAGACTGCTAATTTTCAGTTTAACCACAAGTATCTATCACGGCCACCATGCTAATAAGGTGCATTATGGGCTCCTTGTACATCCCTCATCATGCTTTGTGTTAAGGCAGAAAAAGCCATAGCAGCATAGATCCAGCACTGTTATGATAAAGAAAGCTAACTTTTTGGACTGCTAAATTCCAAGCAAGCTGAGACCTAGCCATTGTACTTGGTACCACTGGGTGAACAGAGGGAGGAATGAATGAATGAATAATACAAAAGCCATCTCAACAAGTATATTACAACTCCTAAATAAAGGATGGAAAGAAGATTAACAATTCAATTCAAAAGACTGAGAGATGACAAAAGCCGTCAAGGATTACTTTTTAAAATCACAATATCCAGTATTGATGAGATACTAATAAACACTTTCATAAAACACTGGTAGGAATGTAAACTGGTTAGCTTTGAGAGGAAAGCAACTGGCAATAAATTTTCTTTAGATAACCTTTAATTTCTTTTTATATTTTCTACAATATACATATATTCATTTTGATGAATACAAACATTTTAAATTTAGAAATTCACATTAAAAAGGAAGGCAGGAGCTAAAAGAAATCACCAGTGTGAGGAGTCAAAAGGTAAGAGTGACAATAACAGGAAAGGGACCTGGGAAGAGCAGACAGTGAAAAGCCCACTGAAAATAAAACAGTAAGACAAAGTGGGAGGACAGATTCCACACACTAAATGTTAAGAGAAGAGGGTAAGCTTTGGAGCTCCTTATTAGGGCAATAAGGCGGAGCAAGGGTCATGAAAAGGGGGACAATCCCCATTTCAGATTAAATGAGGTGCATGTTGCCTTTAAAATCCAAACGTGTTCTCTTTGTGAAGGAAGAGGGGCTGACACAAATTGTCTTACCAGAGATTTGGCCATAAGTAATTGTTAACCTAGTTAAACAGTTCATGTTCAGCTGTAACTCTGCATCTGGTGCTAGGTCTGGCCCAGGGTTCAGAGAGGCCAAAAGAGAAGAGAAGCTAAGGAGCCCTGCTGCTGGGCAATGCCTATGCCAGCCCATGCCAGCAATGCCTGTGAGCAGCAAATAGCATCTGCTGTCCTCACCCTGATCTTCTGAGCATAAGAATATGGCTGCAGTTTCACATTTACCTTTCAAAGTCAAAATGCTTCATGGCCCATGCTAACAATGCAAAAGAAAAAAGAAATCTGGGAAACAGTTCCAGCTTAGCTAGTTTGACACTATACAAGTCCAGCACACCATCTTTGTCTTAAAAACAAAGTAACTTTTTTGGAGCAGTCCTGAGTTTTAACTTCTAACTCTTCTACCATTGCTTATTTCTTTCATTACACCTTACATTTCCAAAGCAGTATTTCGTTTTCCCCAACTGCTTTTCTTTCAAATAGCCTTCTAGTCTAGTGTAATGGTTGTAATATATTCCATTTCCTTTCTTTTCCCTTTTTTCAGTTTCCTTCTGCTTCATGCCTTGTTTTTCTTCCATATTCTCCCTTTTATCTTTGACATAAAGGCTTTTCTTTAAATATCTGGTGATCCTTGCCAATCTGTTATTTAAAAGCAATGCATCTGACTATCAGTATTTCAGGCTTCCTCTCTCTTCTCTTAAGCTAGTTATTTTTCTCAGAAAGAATGCCTCTAGTCACTAGTTTGAATCAACTTTCAAATTCTACTAAATACCCTTACTGCCATTTTTCTCCTTTCTTTTTTATTCTTGTTAATATATGTTTTCAGTCTCTCTCATTTCTGCGGGACTTGCAAAGAAAGGATAAGCCGATAATATGCAATTTAACATATTTCACATTAAGACAGCCAACAAAGAGAAAACTTTTAAATCTTTGGAAAATTTTAAAGACACAATTAAAATTCAGATTTATATTTAGGCCATTCATGAACAGTGAGACAGATTTGTTCATGAAGTGAGAACAAAACAGAATATAAAGAAAAAAAAAACTTATAAAGAGCCACTTTGTCTAAAGTAACAGCATGCTCTAAATTCTACTGAATCTATATCATATTTACAAAAAGTGTTAGATGACAATAAATCTGTTTAAACATCTAATAAGTCAGCTATAACAAATAAATAAGAAACACTTGAGAAAACTGTGGTCCCTTGTAGCCTGGTGGAAGAATATGGAGGTAAAGAGTGACTGCTACCTGTGCCCCTTAAGGAAATGCAAGTTAAAGCTGGGCCTTTCATGTGAATAGACTTTTAGTTAAATTACGTATGCACCTTTTCAGAGTGAAGAATCACCTGTAACAGCAACCAGAAACAATTATCTTTGAGAAATACTGTATGTCCCCTAAAAGATTTTAAGCCTTTGAGTCTTCCAAAATAATTTCAGGCTTAATATTTCAATTATAATCTAACCCCATCCTCAAATGATAAAAACTAGCAAATATGGTAAAGAAAATGACACCTACTTAAGATCATTTAAATATCCATAAGAATTCAACCTGGTTCTCTATTTGAAAATGTACACATTTCTAAGTTATGAAAAAATTATTGCTAAATGATTTTAATACTTAAACGTTTTAAAATCTAAGTATTTCTCATATAGGGTATTTTAAAGGTTGCTCAACACTTCATCATGTTTCCATGTAAAAACAGAACTTCAACCTTTGAAAAGGGCACACAGGATTGGTAGAGATGCAATAAATAAAAATTGCAGTGACAAACATTTTTAAATGATTGATCCTATCTGTTGGTAGCAAGAAAATGGGGAAATAGGCACTCATTAGCAGTGGAAACTTTTAGAATGCTTTTGTTAAGCATTATGAGTATCTATTAAATTTTGTGCATATCCTAAAACCTAGAAGTTCCACTTCTATAAATCAATCCTGTAAAATAAATGATGACATGAAGATACAGGATGCATTATTTATAACAGACATTTAAGAATATTTCCATTTGTTTACAAGTAGATATGTACCAGTATGGGAAAATGTCTATTATGGTTAATTTTATGTGCGAACTTGACTGGGCTAAGGGTTACCCAGATAGCTGGTAAAACATTGTTTTTGTGTGTTTTGAGAAGAGATTAGTATTTGAATCAGTAGACTGAATAAAGAAGAACCACCTTTACCAATGTAAGGATGCATGATCCAATCAGTTGCGGGCATGGATAGAACAAAAAGGTAAAGAAAGGGCAAATTCACTCTCTCTTCTAGAGCTCGTACACGCATCTTCTGCCTTCAGACATCAGAGTTCCAGGTTCTCATTCCAACATTTACACCAGTGGCCCACTTCCAATTAATTCCCCACCCCTATTCTCAGGTCTTCAGCCTTGGACTGAGAGTTAAACCACACCACTGGCTCACCTGTTTCTCAGAACTTCACATTCAGACTGAATTGTATCACCAACTTTCCTGGTTCTCCAGGTTGCAGACAGCATAGTGTGAGACTTTCCAGCTTCCATAATCATGTGAGTCAATTCCCATCTTTAATAGCCCTGTACATACATGTATATATGTATGTCCTACTGGTATGCACTTCTGAAGAATCCTATTAATGTCCAAGTCACATTGTCCGACAAGTTATAGAGTACTGCTTTTAAGATGATCCCATTATAGTAGTTAAAAGCACACAATTTCTTTGGACATGTACCTGGGTTCTTCTACTTACTAATTATAGAACTTTGAGTAAGCAACGAATCCTCTCTATACCACAATTTTTCCATTTGAGGAAAACAATAGTATGATCTTACAGAGGAATTGTGAGGACTAATGAAGATAATACATGCTAATTGCTTGATAAAGGTAAACTATAATTATTACATATATATTTTAAAAGCACATATATATAATTATTGTATTAGGTTGAACTATCTGAAACTGCCAATACTTAACAATTGTTCACCTAAAAATATTACAAGTTCATATGGTTTAACCTAATATATGCATGGAAATTTTCAGAAAGAATATACAAGGAAAAGCTATTTTAAATATTCTTCTTTTCTTACATGGGAAAAATACTCTTATATACCATTTGGACATTTTAAATGTGAACATAGTTAAACATCCCCTCCTCTCAAATAAAAAGGTATCTACACGGCTTGCTTTAAGCAAGCATGGCAGACACAGGAGAGCCTATGGATTAATAAAAGGGAAGGGAATAAAATTAACCCTTCCCTTCCCACTAAGTCAATAATCATTTGTTGACTGAGCAATCTACCTCTTTTTATTACTCTACTAGGGAGTTTCCACTTCATTTTAGAGAAACTTAAAGAATGCTGGCATGCTTACTCTGGCAGCGCATATACTAAAACTGGAAGGATACAGAGAAGATTAGCATGGCCCCTGTGCAAGATAACAAGCAAATTCATGAAGCATTCCATATTTTTATATATATTTCATAAAATGCTGTCATTGGAAAACATGTTAGAGATTATACACGGAGGTAAATTCAAGCTGGTTTAAATGCTGTCAGGAAGTTATTTCTCAAATGTAATCTAAATATTACAATTCAAAGAGATCTGGTTTTAATAATTCTATAACTCTCTCTTTATAAAATGAGTGTAAATAAAGAAGTCAAGAAATAAAAATAACAGGCCAGGCATGGTGGCTCACACCTGTAATCCCAGTACCTTGGGAGGCTGAGGCAGTGGGTCACCTGAGTTCAGGAATTCGAGACCAGCCTGGGTAACATGGTGAAACTCAGTCTCTACTGAAGATAAAAAAAAATTAGTCAGGTGACATGGCATGTGCCTGTGGTCCCAGCTACTCAAGAGGCTGAGGTGGGAGGATAGCTTGAGTCTGGGAAGTAGAGGTTGCAGTGAGCTGAGATCGCACCACTGCCCTCCAGCCTGGGTGACAGAGTAAGACCCCATCTCAAAACAAAAAACAAAACCAAAAACATTCTATCAGCTGCAGTCAAAGACATGTGTACAGCACTGAGTTTGAGAAGACCACAAGTCTGTTGCTTTTGAAGCTCTATCTTACTACGTAGTGAAATGATTCATAGAAAGTTCAATTAGAGAACACTGGTTCAGAGCGTACAGAAACAGACCCAAATATGAGAATTTGTATTTTTGATATACAATTGTGTGTACTAAAGGTAGCATTTCCAATCAGCAGGGAAAGAATTACTGAGTAAACAGTGTTGGGACAATTAGCCTAAGGGAGAATGAGAGAGGACTGAGGGAGTAAAGCTAAATCCATACATCAACTCTTACCCAAGTTCACTATGAATCAAAGATTTATATTTAAAAAATGAAATGATAAAAGTAGTAACACATAATTCTAATTAAGAAACGGCTTTCTAAATAGACTACAAACCCAAAAGACAAAAATAAAATGGAAAGACTGAGGCTTTTTTTTAAGGAAAAATAAAAACTTATAGATGAATAAAGCCCAAACTGAAAGAAAACAGTGCCAGGGCAAACGGGTTGATCTATTTCCTTCATGGACTGAAAAATATTAACTCCATGGGGAAAAGAAAAATTGAAAATGGCTATTCATACATGAAAAGTCACTCAACTTACTCATAACTTAAACACTCTATTAAAAATTGCTTTTTCAGCCAGCCATAATATGCCAAGACAGTTCCCAGTATTAATGGGAGTGTGCTGAGACAGGCACACTAATGAATATAAAAACTGATACAACTTAGAGGATAATTTTTAAATAGTTAATAAAAATCATGAGCAACAAATAATATTTATGTATTAAATAATACTGAGTGTGGGAATGACTTTAGGAATGACTTTAAAATAATCTGAGAGATGAAAATTTTAAGAAAGTTGATGCAAATATAAATGAAACAAGATTAAGCATATATTGACGGTCCTGTCTGGGCGACATGGCTCACACCTGCAATCCTAGCACTTTGGGAAGCCAAGGTGGGTGAACTGCTTGAGCTCAGGAGTTCCAGACCAACCTAAGTAACATGGGAAAACCCTCTCTCTACAAAGAAAAAAAAAAAAAATTAGCCAGGCATGGTGGTGTGTGCCTGTAGCTCAGCTACTTGAGTGGATGAGAGGTGGCAGGATTGCTTGAGCCCAGGAAGTCAAGGCTGCAGTGAACCAAGATTGTGCCATTCCAGCCTGGATAACAGAGCAAGACCTGTCTCTATATAAAAAGATAAATAAGTAAATAAAATTAAATTGATGGTCGCAATAGCAGGGTGGTGCTATATATAACAGTATAAGCACAGATAAGAAATACCCGAAGAATAAGTTGAACAGTAAGTTAGAGAGAGATTGATCCAGCTATAGTCAACCATTTCAGATATAAAGAAAATTACTTTAAAATAAAGTAAGTTTTTGTACATTATATAGGACACAGTTCTACTACGATACACAATTTACGAAGCCCTTTCTTAATGTTCACAACCTTTGGAGAGTTCATTATACTGTTCTCTCTACCTTTGTATATGTTTGAATTTTTTCCCATAGAGTTTTTCCTAATGTTCATACCCTTTAAATCAGGAATTCCATGTCTTCGAATTTTGCCTGTACTTACATTGTACAAGCACACAACAATGTAAGTACAAAAATGTTCTCTGAGGCAATAAAAGAAAAAACCTGGAAACAATCTAAATATCTACTGGAGGATTGGTTGAATAAATTATGGTTTACTTAAATACAGTGATGCCATACACCCTTGAAGAGTATGGAAGCAAATTATATGAGGTAGATTGTGGAAAGGGGGAAAACATCAAGGGCATAATAATAGGTATAGTTTAATCACATTTAACTAAAAACAAAACCACACATGTAGATTTGTGAATGCATGTCAGATATGTGCCCATATTCATAACAAATCCCTGGAAGGATATGTGAAAAACTTAACAGTAGTTACATCTGGTTGGGCAGGAGAGGGGGTATTTCATATATTACATTTAAAATGAAAAAGAACTAAAATTGTAAAATCTTTCATCTATTAAGGTGAGTGGCATTCATTTAGAAACTACCAATGTTCAGATCAACATTGGTGGGAAGCTTCCTTCAAAAAGATTTAAATTATATACAGAAGAATAAGATGAGCTATAGCTCTTTTATTAGTGACCTCATCTCGGAGCTTTTTTTCTTGAGATGAAGTCTTACTCTGTCGCCCAGAGTGCAATGGTACAATCTTGGCTCACTGACCCTCTGCCTCTCAGGCTCAAGTGATTCTCCTGCCTCAGCCTCCCGAGTAGCTGGAACTATAGGCATCTGCCGTTATGACCAGCTAATTTTTATATTTTTAGTACAGACGATGTTTCATCATGTTGGTCAGGCTGGTCTTGAACTCCTGACCTCAAGTATCTGCCCGCCTTGGCCTCACAAAGTGCTAGGATTACAGATGTGAGCTACCATGCCCTGCCAGAGCTCTTAGCATACCTCTGGCTCAGCCCTGATGATTGTTCCTAAAGCTAAAAGGCTAATATTATCTTAAATAATTACTCCAAAGATGTAGGACTCTTTCTTAATCCAAATAATTAAGGATATTTATTGAGTAAACATGTGCCTATTCTAAGGGGAATTCAAAAGACTAATATTACGGTCCTTGTTCAAAAAGTTTATAATCTGACAAAAGAGAAAATGTTCATATAAGGAACAATTAAAGCCATGCAAAACACATGTACTCTGAAAAAGAGAAGCTGGTATGCGAATGAATAGTCAGAGTTCATAGAAGAAATAAGAAGGCAGGTTCAGACTTAGAAGATTAGCCAGATTTAGACAGAAAAACAGGGCTGCATAAAAACACTAGAAAGAATGTACAGAAATAAAAAAATGAAATACTGGAAGACTCAGTATGACTGGAGATGGGGGAAAGAAAAAGTATGAAATAAGTAGCAAGTAGTATGAAATAAGTAGTAAGTTCAAGGTGATATACATCTTTAAAACCTGGCAAAAATTAAGATTTTATAAAATTGGCAGACAAATTTTACGAAGTGTCTGGCAGCAACAACATGCACAACAGGGTAAACTATTTTTAAGTCTTTGCTTCTTTTTGGCTTGCTTTCTTGACATTAAAAATAAGATAATGAACATTATTTCAATACCTCACTTCCAGATTCTAGTGGTCTCTTCTTCCTTGGTCCAATAGCTGCAAGAGCTGTGAGATTAGCATCTCTATGCTGTATCTGTGCAAGTTCCAATTGCTGTAACTAGAAGACGGAAGGAAAAAAAAATCAATGTTTACACACATTCATGCTCAGAGGGAAAAAGAAACTGATTGCTAAGCCTATTTCTGTATTCACCAAATAAAGTTACAATATAAAATAAACATTAGATTCCCATAACAGCCAAAGGCACATTCTCTGATTCTTTTACTCCAACAAACTCTTTAGTTCTTCACTTCTATATGGAAGAGGCAGAACTCAGGTAAAGGAGAAGTACAGAAAAGAAGAAAAAAGGCTTAATTTCTCCCCAGTATAAACACAGATAAGAAATGCCTGAAGAATAATTTGAACAGTAAGTTGGAAAGAGATTGGTCAAACTACAACCATCTCAGATTACTTTAAAACAAAGAGTTTTTGTACATTATAGCACATAGTTCTACTGTGCTATATAATTTACAAAGCACTTTCTTAACTCTCACAACCATATTGAAAGGTAATTGCTATAATGTAAGAATTACACATAATCTTCTTTTTTTAATGGAGACAGTAAGCTCTAAGAGGTTAGGACAACTTTATAAAAGGCACCATACAAGTAGTAAGTGGTAGAAACAGCATGTGGAGTAAAGTGCTCTCATTAAAAACCTCTTCAGTACATACACTTTCTCATTTGCAAATAAAAGTCTTAGATTTACTCTATAATCTTAGTAACAAAATTCTAAAGTGATTTAGTACTATTTTGTTGTACAGCTTTCATCATATTTAATCAAGAATGCCCAAATCTACAGGGCATATGTTTTCATATGTGGGCAAAACTATACAGGGGTATGCATGAAAAATGTCCTATTAGAAGGCAGAAACCGCATTATTTCATTAAGGCAACTAAGTGTCAAATCAGGTATTCTGTTAAAAAACAACCACCACCACCACCACCAAGGTGAGAAAGTCAAAACAGAACACCACTATATAAATCCCTAAGCTTTTTCAGAAGAGAGGAATAATGTTCAATTCCCATCAAAATATTATTATTAATACTACGGAAGGAAAAAAGGAAAGAACCTGGAGATGGCTGACAGTCACATATTCAAACAAGATGGAGATAATTGACTGAAAAGTAACCAATTGAGAAACCCTATGCATGTAAATATTCTTTCAAAAGAGCACTAACCAAAAAAATTTTTAACACGTTTAACAGTAGAGCAGGATGAAAACAATAAGTAGTTTGTGGTGTAATAGTCTTAAGGAGATACCAAGTACATAAATTGCACTTTAAGATTATTTTAATATTAGGGGAAAGAC